TTCTTTAGTTTCGTAGAACTGTCAGTTTTGAAATGTACCACAATTTCCAATTGGAATTAAATTTCTGAATAAATTATCATGACTCACGCTTAAAACTTGCTAAATTTTAAAAATCTTAAAAATTAATCAAAAAATCCATTTTTTTTTCTTTAGTTTCGTAGAACTGTCAGTTTTGAAATGTACCACAATTTCCAATTGGAATTAAWTTTCTGAATAAATTATCATGACTCACGCTTAAAAGTTGCTTCGCACGTGCAATAAACGATGCACTTTTACTAAAGACAGCACAATGAGAAATGCAAAAATTAATTCTTTGATTACTGCTACATTTAAAATTTCATTAATAACATAAAACCACACAATCGCACTGATATACACATCTACAAATACGTATACAAAATATGCAAATCAACTCACACACACCTACATATTAAATATATATAAACGGCAGCAATTGCAGCCATTCAAATTAAATATTTATGAATGAATTACTATTTGTATGAACGTGTGCATATAGTATAAAAGATTGTGTATAAATGTGTGCGTGATATAAAAAATGAAATGGCAAATGGGCAGCGTTGAGTAAATAATTAAGTGATTAATGAGCGACATGAGCTGAACTTCCAAGCAATGTATAAAGGAGTAAGCTGGTGGCTTGAAGGGACATCTTTCGTCTCTGGCTGTCAAATTGCGGAAATGCAGAGTACAGCGCAGCCACACAGCCACTACACTCGTTTTCACCGCTCCAGCGGCAACGGCTTTATAATAAGCGTGTTAAGCTTGCTGCTGGATGACAATTACTTTTTGTGCTCACTATGAAAAGCTCAGAACTTGCTTGTCTACAGACTCTTTAGTGAATAATATTTCATTATTAAATTTTCTGCCTTCAACTCTTGTTCGGTTATTTTTATTATTGTTTAAAATATTATACACTAAATTAAATTATTTGTCTTCTCTTCCCACCAGATGCGCTCACAAGGATGAATTTGGCACGCAACGTGTCTACAAGAAGACTTCACCAAATTGTGTGCTCACACTCTATTTACCCTCGCGAGAGATCACACTTTCCGGCAATAATCCAGCTATATTGCGTGGCATTATTTATGTAGATCCCAAGGCGATACAAGGTTACAGAGTTTATGCACAATTGACGTTGACTTTCCGGTGAGTATTGCACGGTTATAAAGAATTCTATATATACGTATCAAATATATACTTCTCAAAGAGCACTAATAGAAATATAGTAAATATCTTGGTAAAAGTTAGATTCGCATGCCGATATTTTACTAAATCTTAGGGAATTCATATGAAATTGTTAGGTGACAAGCCGAAAGGCAGCAACAGATCCTTCCACGATAATATTTTGCCTCATCCAAAGCCAGCTCTTTCTAGCCAGGCAAACTTCCTTATTTTACTGAAAGCTTAAGTGCTTATGCTCTTCGATGAAATGCGAGCTTGGGGGTCTTCCGACGACCTACATATATGCACCAATATGGATGTACTGAAACGCAGACGAGGACGATACAAACATGTCAGACGACCGCACTCCGGACTACGACAGGATGTCCGTTTCCTAGGAACATCAAAAGGTCCTTCTTTAGCTATGTCGACGGCATAAAGCAATACGCCGACCAGACTTCGGACGCAACAAGCGTCAGGCATGCACTTAACATCTTTCACAACTTCGTTCTGGATACTGTAGCAAACTGCTACTTTTCCAGAATGCTGGCATACCAAACATATGTCCAGCGTATAGTGAGTCCCCGCATGACACTAACCACCTCCTTTCGTGCCTTCCTAAGCCTACACATCTGACACCCTTTTCCGTACATTCTGAACCCGTCGGAACAACACGTTTACTGGGAATACCATTGGATGACCTCGAGGATAACTCTTCTAATCCTTAGCATCCTAACGGAGATTACGTAACAACAACAGCAACCCATAAAAAAGTGATATTACAGTACCTCCAGAGCCAAGCCAAAGTGTGCAAGACTTTGATTACACTTTTCAAGATCGTCCGTGCATTAAAATGTACTTTAATTGCTTTGAAATTTTTCTAAGCTTCCAAATGCCCAGTTTGCAAACAACAATACGATATTTTAGAAAGAGATCGTTTGTAATTTCCTAAGAAAATATAAGTTTCATTTTAGTTTCAGATTGTAGAATTTCATCACGTCATTTTTAGACTCCTTCGCTGAGGACTTGGAGCTGCTTTTAGATAATTGAAGATTTTCGCAAAATTTTCTGTTCTTTATTTTCTTACTATCCCAAGGCGTTGGCTATACAGATGTTACCTCCGATTTTCTTTCCTCTTCCAATCATCTCCGTTTGTTTGAATCTTATACTTTCTACAGTCGCCTCAAACTGTGACGTCACTTTAACACTCTTACTTATAAACAAGCAAGTATCTCTTTTCGATCACGTAGTCCAAGTGTTAGCTAGTGATAGTAGCTCCACATTTGCAAGTGAAATCACAATTTATTTATTTCCATTTCATTTTTTCTACATTTTACAGTTATGGCCGCGAGGATGAGGAGGTGATGGGTTTGCGTTTCTGTAATGAGGCTATTATGTCGCTACATCAGGTCTGGCCAAGAAATGAGGAGCCGGCGCGTGAGTCACTCAGTCCACTGCAGGTAAGTCCAAGACACAGACAAATAGGTTTACAGTTTATATTTCTCTTTCTCAAGTGAATATTTTACGTCAATAAAATTGTTTATTTCAATTATTCTTAGCTTTCACATTCAGTAAACAAAGTAATTTGAATTTAATTTGCGGTGCAATTTGCGTTCGAATAAACGAAAGATTTGTTTTTGCCTTCACATATTGCGGTGAATGTATTTAAATGGTTGGTTATTTAGTTTAATTACTCAAATGATGTTTCAGCCTGACTCTTCTACTCCATTTTTTCCTTCAACCTGCAAAGTTTCAATATCATTTTTGTAATACTATTTCCCCTTTGCTTCAAAAGAGGCTACAGTTTGGTCAATTGCCTCTTCATTTGACGAAAACTTCTTCATAGCGAGCGCATTATTTTGAGATTTGAGGACTGGGTGGATGCGGCAGCGTAAGATTTCTATTTCAAATTTTCCAACGAATTTCAGCAGTTTGTAGGTAGGAATGTTTTTGCATGTATATGTGCGCATTTACACCACTAAGTTGTTAACTTGCAAAATTTAAATTGCAATTTTGTTTACTGGCTGCAAGACAGCACACAAAAGACTTTTCGGACCCAATAAGGTTTAGCGCTAAAGACACAAGTAGCTAGTGAAATCCCAGAAGACATTAAAATATCCTTATTCTTCTTTATTGGCGCAAACACCGCTTATTCGGTTACAGCCGAGTTCAAAACAGCACCAGCCGTTTCTTCTTTTCGCTGTTTGACACAAATTGGAGACTAAAAATCTAGACAGGACCTTCTTTACCTGGTCTCTCCAATGGAGTGTACTGCGTTAGATACTATCGGAGCTGGTTTCTATTTATTCGAGCGACATGACTCGTCGAAGTATGTTAATGTCATTGCCGAATATCAGCACTAATGTGCCGTGGTCGGTCAATCGACTTCAGTACTCGACAATGCGCAAAGGGTCATAAATATTCCACAGAATCTTTCTCTGGAAAACTCGTAACGCCGATTCAACAACTGTCAATCGTCCATACCGCCGCCCATATAGCAGGACGGGTGAGTATCTTGTAGAGTTTGGTCTTTATTCGAGAGAGTACTTAACTTCTCTAGTGCCTACTCAGTAGCGCCTGTTGGCAAGATTTATTTTGCGTTGGATTTCGCAGCTAATGTTGTTGTTGGTGTTTATGCTAGTTCCAAGATAGACAAAATAATCTACGACTTCGAAGTTATGACTACCAACAGTGACGAGGACTGGAGTTATTTCGTCATGTCCACGTTCAGTACCACACACATTTGCTTCGCTTCTTAATCCAACCTGTGGAAAGCAGAACAAACGACGCGGTTGTAGTGTGTGTCGGTCTTATTCTAACGGGTCTTCTCCAGGTTAGGACGCATGGTCAAAATCTGATCGATATTAGATTTTCCAGGTCTAAAGCCATACTAGTTAGCGCAGATTGTGAGTACAATTGCGCGGAGCACACTTTAATTCCAATCATCGGGCATGCTTTCATCTAATCATATTCTATAATGAAGCTCTTCTTGGACAGCGATGATGTCAGCCTTTATTTATACGAGGAATTCAACCAGTTGGGCAGCGGTACCTTCCCCATTAAGGGACCGGACATTCCATGTGCATGCACTCAATTCATAGTCCTTATTTCGTTGGCCATAGTCATAATCAAAAGCGGGGTCTCTCATCCGAGGATGTCGATTAGTTTTCAGCCCCCATTGAAATGCATGGCAGGTCCCAAACCTATCGCAAATCCAGGAATGGTTCGCCTTCTCACTTTAGCTCGCCTTCAAATGGAGTTTTTTGGCTAACCAGAGGATACTTGGTCTAATACCGGAAGTCGTGAGCTGTTTGAGACATATGTAAAATAATAGTTTCTGGTCACTCCCAAATGAATGGCAATCAGAGCACTTTCCTCAATTGCATGAACTTCTACACATGACTCCATTCTTCAACTTTGCTTATTAATTTCATACTTAGGCTTTTAAGTTTTACCTTTAAGAAAATAATACAATTTTTCGGTCTTTTTGCATTCCAGGAAGCCTTAGTGAAGCGGCTTGGCGATGGTGCACACCCATTCACACTCACCCTAACCCCACAGGCGCCGCCAAGTGTGCAATTAGTGCCGGCAAAACGTTACTATGGCGCACCGATCGGCACCAGCTATGATGTGCGCTGCTTTATAGGTGAGTGCAAATAATGAAAACAAATATTAATTAAAAGAATGGAGTAGTAAATTAAAAATGAAATGGAGTAAATGTGTGGAAAGCAGAGAGCGTAAGCGTAATTAGAAGCTTTAAAAAAAGTATTATAAGCGCTGATAAATAAAAATGGACAGAAAAAATACTTAGGTAATTACTAAAGGCTATTAGCAACACGAAGAAAATGATGAGAATACATTTGCTACGATAAAAGCATATAATAAAGAGGAAATTATGGTAAAAATGTTGGAAGTGCCATCACTTATGTCCAAGTCGCGTATATCCTATTGCCAATGCGCTAATCATATTAAATAGCCGCGCAACACTAAGTGAATCAAAGGCTTGCAACATTATGTGGCACGTTGCATGAGCAATAGAAATTTTAAATTAAAAAGCGCGCTCTTTGCCGCAAGCAAACACATAGGCATTGTGACAACGCGAAGGCCACCAATATTCAATTTCTTACACACACACATACACATGCATACTTTTCAAATACACATGCATATTTGCACATAATTTTTATATTAGTTCCTCATTGACGCAATTTTATTAAGCCGGAAATTGAATATCCTGTGCGCCGGTATCGCATCACGGTACATCAAGGCGAGCCAAGTTATTGGCGCCACCGCAAACACATATGCGCCTAGGTGTATGCAGCATGTACGCGTCTGAAGGAAATCCGTTTAGTTGCACCGCTAACAAACGCACACATGCACAAACGTTTTCTCATCTACAACACTTATGCATATGTCTGTGTCTGCTCATGCGTGCGGTGTGAGGTGTGACATTTGCGTCAGCACTGACATTCCGCTGTCAACAATATAATAGAATTTGCTCACAACATCGCTATGTGTTGTTTTTATTGTTGCATGTGTTAGCAAGGAATGCAAGTTAACTCGCTTGTGAGCAACACTTTTAAGTGCAGCACTTGATTGCTTTTTCGCACTAGTGTTGCCATTTGCATATAAAATGCTTTTAGTTAACATAATAATTTGACGACTAAGCCGATTAATGTAAATTTTAGTTGCAAAAGCAATTAGATGTGTGGAAAAGCAATTATCTAGACAGCAAATATGTCTTACCGGATTAAATCTTAACGGGACCATCATTTTAAATGATTCATATTGGTGTGACAACTGACAAGTGACAGGCCAAAAAACATAATGTTTTCAATTTTAAATGATAATTGCTGTTATTGAACTATTTTAAAGCTGATTTCGAGTGTACGACAGTAAATACAGCATTTGACACATGACAACTGACAACTGACCGCCTTCATAATTTACCATTTTTAATAAAACTAGAATTTTATTATAGTACTGTATGACTTTCTAGCGGCGTTTTGGCATTTTGCACCAAATTAAAAATTTGGCTCTTGACAACTGACAAATGACAAACTCAAAAGCTTTTTTGAAGAAGATTACCATTGTTGAAGTACTTTTAAACAAGCTGGGAATTCTCCCCGTAACAGCTGACAAGTAACAATCCAAAAAACTTCATTTCTTGACTTTCTGTGTTTAAACCATTTTGCAGCTGATTTTAAGTAAATAATAGTAAATATGGCATTTGCCGTATGACAGCTGACAACTGATAGTCCAGAAGCTTCTTACTTTAACTTTTTAAATAATATTACTATTGCTAAACCAATTTTACAACTGCTTTTGCCTTCTAAAGCAAATTTAGAAGTTGACATGCGACAGCTGACTAATGACAGACCAAAATACTTAATTTTTTTAATTTATAAATTATTATTATCAGAGCCATTTTTTCAGCTGTACTTTAACAGTAAGTTTTGATCATATTTCTGGATTTTAAAGTAAATTCATAAATTGACACTTGACAGCTGATAGTTGATAGTTGACAGTCACAAAACTTTCATAATTTAGTATTTTTTTTTTTTTAATAATATTAGTAGACTTCTCAACTCCTTTTTGGTTTGTTTAAGGAAACTTAGAATTTGACACTTGACAGCTGACAGCCTGTCTCTTATACACATCTAGATGTGTATAAGAGACAGGCTGATAGTTGATAGTTGACAGTCACAAAACTTTCATAATTTAGTATTTTTTTTTTTTTAATAATATTAGTAGACTTCTCAACTCCTTTTTGGTTTGTTTAAGGAAACTTAGAATTTGACACTTGACAGCTGACAGCTGACAACTACCAAATTATTTTTTTGGATTTACAAATAGACAATAATAATTTATTATTTTTACAACTCTTTTGAGTAAATACAACATTTGTTATATGGCAGCTTACAAAGGACTACTATAAAAATTGAATTCTTCAGAATTAAAATTCTATAGCTACAATAACTTGATCACAGCTGAAGAAAACCGAATATACGGACCCCAGTACATATGGTTCAGTGTTTGCCGAAAATTTCAGTCAACGTGTGAGATATATACCATAATTAAAATTTGGAGAGAACTCTTTCCTGATAATAGTAACTATGTGTCCACTCCACTTAGCCACCATACATAAACTTAATGTAAAGGTTTTCGAACTTCCGGGTGACTTTATATCGCATATATCGGCCAAATATGAATTAGCTTTATGAAATAGAGAATTCGTATTTTTCTTATAACGGTAAATATTTGTGCTTACAATGAATAAATTCGGGTGAAAACTCGTCTTAGACCATATAACCAAGAAGTTTTGTGCTTGAAAGTATTTCCCCGGCAAGTTGCAAGTCCCTGATATATGCGGTTATACCCGCATACTTGTTAAAGATTTCACTAGGTTAACACAATGCGCATCGAGCTCGACTTGAGCAAAAGAGCGGTTTGTAGAAGATATTTGTAAGCATTAAAAGAACTAAGACACGATCTTTCCACATCTTTCTACGTACTTTTCGACATTGATAGTATTGCCGTAATCAAATATGCTTTAACTAAAACATTTACTATAAGAAATCTCATTGTAATTTCATAGATTCGATGCCAGTAAAGAAGAAAAAGAAGATCATTGAGCTATTGTTACTTGTTTTGAAATATTTTTTTAACATTATTCTTTAGTGTCGTTCTGAAATCTGTTTTACCTTGTACACCAACGGCTCTAGTCTCTATTTGAAACCTTTCATGCTTTATTCCATCAAATGTGTAGAGTTGGAGGTCATAGTGATCATATTTTTTCAATTTTTACGAATAAAAACTCCCCTCTCTATCTTGCACCCTATAAATTGAATTCTTACTGAACTCAAAAAGGCAACTTTTGTTTTTGAAAAAGAGAGTTCTGTGCAAACTAGAACTTAAATCGCTTCAGGGTGCGTAATTTCCCTCACTGGGCAGTGCAATCGCTTCAAAAATTGTGATTTGAAATGAATAAAAAAAATTAAA